CAAAATGCATAATAAATCTGTAAATCATCATTTACTAATTTGTTATTGATCTTAGTTTCTTAGCTTTATATAATGGTTGGGAATAAGATAATAGTCTAGAAATWTGYAYTMATGCTTCTTTTATCATTTTACAAAATATCTTTGCATATTTCCACAATGTCTCTAATTTTTACAATATTTCCCCTCGACATTTCCGACATGTGTCCTATATTTTGATAAGTGACATTTTCATTGACATCGACATTTTAAACTTTGCTGGCAAATGATACACCTCAAAGGAAGCGGCCACTAACCTTTTGACTTTTTTTTTGATACTATATATATCAAGTATGTTTCTAGAACTCTCAATACAATATAATATAGTTATACAAAATAAGGGCAGTAGTATATTAGCCTGTATTGAAGGTTTTACTTAAGTAATGCAGTTTTGCTCTTTTGAAAAAAAAAATGTCCGTAAAGGGCATTTGATAAAAAAATGATAGAAATTATGAGTAATGCATTGTATGTAGAGAAAATTTTGGATTCTATTAAATTAGGTAGGGGTGTAGCTCAGGTTTGTCCAATTAGCATTTTATACACTGCTTTGGCCTTGGGCCGTCAGGCTAGACCCATTCGAATTTTGAAAAAAATCTCAACCCAAGCCTACTCAAATTGATCATTTGTACCCGTAATTATAGGCAATAACCACTTTTTCAAAGTGGATGTTAAAGCCACATCATTCATTATTAAAAAAAATTCACCATAACAAGGAGGTGTGGCCTATGACCTTATCATCCAACGTAAAGTTTTTCCTGTAAATATATCAACAACTGAATAAAATATAAAAAGCACAGGGTTTAATTACCGATACACAGAGGTGTATCAATACTTTGAACCTTGCTTGCAACCTCTAATGATACACAAACAATTTTTTTTTGATAATATCGGAAGGGGCTACACAAGACGGGGGTAGCACATCCCAACAGATCATTACACACAATTACACTAAGATCATAAGGAAGAGCTCTTGGATTGAAGGCTGAAGAGGCATCACCAAACTTTTGCACTTCCTGGGCTAACTAGTCAGAAACAACCTTGTCATCTTCTTGGTTCCTTGTTAGTGTAATTCAGACCGCAGAGAAGCTTCTCGTAGTCCTCTGTATTTGCATCATATACAAGTCCAGGATCAAGCGACTTGTTAGGATTGAGGTGACCCGCTCTCCTGTGGCTAGAGGACTTGTGGATTGCTCGTCATCTAAGATTTCTGTGATGGGTTTGAGAGTGGTATCAAGTGAATCTTCTGTGGTCATCATGGCAGATAGAATGGCTATTGGGCTCCATTCAGGATGGACTGCTTTCAGAAGTGCTGCATTCCCACCATACGAGGACAAGCCATGGAGGTTCCGCATATGATGTTGAAGTTGCTAAACAACTTTGTTAGTCCTTCGCTCACCACAGGACTTACTGGAGATCAATGTTGTGGTCTCCTATAAATTTATTGTTATAGCTACTCTTGCATTCAGCCACAACAATCTTGTGACCAACATTACTAAAATCTTGCGTACAGTTTCATATGAAGACGAGGGATACTCGGGTCAGCAACGAACCTCCATACAAAGATGCACCTGCAATTGAAACACCATAGCCACTGTACTACTTGATATCAATCCACATGGAACAATCTCCGATGAGCTGCTCACACTTAGCTGTCCTGTGCTGATAAATTCATCGTAACAAGAAATTGTGGAGACATTTACAGACAATGAAGCTGAAAAGTAAATGTACATCAACATTCTACACTGAAAACTTGAAGGACTTGCATGGTCTGTTTAACTTATAGTCATAATTAGCCCATCCAGCGCATTGATTAGCTAGATCATAAACAAAAAAAAAAAAAATAACACTTAGAACAGGGTCTGCAAAGAAAAAAGTAAATATATATATATTAGTTTTCTTCTCTTTAGTCAGGCTTACCAACTTACAACTTTAATAACTCATATACCAACTCAGGCAAATATACACATAAGTTTACTGGTAAAGACATTGCATCCATATCATTCAAAATGTGGTTGCCGATGTCATGATTTTGTTTCAGACAGCATAACAGCCATGCAACAGTTTGAAAGGAAGCATTTCCAATGCCTTAAAGTAGAAAAGTTTTAGAGAATCTGAATCAATGTAATACGTCTGTTGAGGATTAAAAAAATGTACGAAGTTTAATGATAAAACAATTGCTGATGAGAAAGAAGATTGTTGAAGTCAGAGTTGGCAGAACTAGCTAAACCTCAGAATGGACTTTCTGTCAAATTTTTTATCTTAATATTTAACTATATTAGTTGGTGCAGGTTATCTTTTATCTCTATATAAAACAAGTAAGTTCTTATATATGTTAATAGTTGACATTGCTCTCATGGAATATATTCCATGGCATTGCAAGAACCAATTATTGTGATTTGCATAATTGCATCTCAAACTACTTAAAATAGACAATAGTTGGAATTTCCCTACAAACAATGTAGAGAGTGCACATATCTAAAAAGGCCATTATCCAATGGTGGCCCCTGCTACTTTGGCATTTTCTTTTGCACAAAGTGGCTGCTCTCACTCTCACAATATGAAAGTGCACATAGAGCATCCAAAAATAGTATTCAGGGAACTTTTAAGGTAGTTTACTTCTATCCACCCCATGCCTAACAGCTCATTATGAAAAGTTGTGTATTAGATACGGTTGTTACATACTTACACCCACTTTTTGAAGGTTTTGTCAATTAAGCTTTTATGCAGTTAATAAATAGTGGAGATACCATTAAATGTTTTCTACATTGCAAATACCTTTATGAAATTCTTCTTCGCTATATATCTCTCTATCGGATATGGTGTTATGCCCTAATGTATTAAAATATATTTAGGAGTTTATGTACATACTACACAGATTACAGTTGAAAATGAGTTTAATAATGACATTTCATGTAGCCAAGAAAGTGGAGAAATACCAATGAAACCACCAATCATGAAACAGGAAATTAGGAAAAACAAAAAGTCGGTTATATTTCACACTTACACAACCTCCAAGACCTAAAATTCAAGAGATCAATGACGGGCGACATAGGAAGAGAGCTAGGGATAGACCAAAAAGAACATGGATAGAAACAGTAAGAAATGATTTAGACACTAATAATTAAACAATGGATATGGCTTTAAATTGAATGGATTAGGGAAACGGGACTCATGTAGCCAACCTAATATAGTTAGGACAAGTCATGAATGATAATGATGATGACATATTAGGGATGGTTTCTTTATGACCTGACCGACTTGCCTGGCATGCAAATTTCCAGGCCCAAGTAGCCACATTTCTCCTAGGCCTAGCCCAACCCAGACCCGCATTAAACCTACAAGAAATGTGGATATGTGATGTTTCGTTAAAATACGATAATATTAGTTGTAACCTCATAATAGACTTTCAACCTTCAACCATTAATTGTGACCTCATAATGGACTTTCAATCAAATTTTTATCCTGATATTTTTTATGTGATTGTAGATCTGTAGTTAGAATTGCCTTGAGAACTCCTATAGCTTGTTTGTGATGTTTGGGCAAACATTGGAGTTCAATATCTTAGTATTTATAAAATATTATTAAATTAACAATAAGATAATAACAATAAATAAAATAATATACTAATAATAAAATGTTAATAAACTATTAATAAAATATTAGTAAAATAATAATAAAATAACATTACTATAATAAAATATTAAGACACTAATTACAAAAAAGATTTTAATTATTAAATATAATAATAAAATATTAATAAAATACTAATGCAATATAATTAAATATTATAAAAAGTAATAATTAGATAATAAAAACAATAATAAAATACAAGTTTATTAATAAATAAAATAATAAAAATAAAAATAAAATATTCATTAAATAATAATACTATAATAAAACATTAATAAATTAATAACAAAAAGAAAAGATATTAATTTAGTAAATAATAATCTTAATAATAATTCATTAGAAATAAAATGTTAATATATTATAATTAAAATAATAATAAAATACTAGCAAATTATTTATTAAATAATAATAAATTAATAAACAAAAATAATAGCATAACAATAAACTAATATGAAAATAAAAGTAAATATAATAAAATAATAATTTTTAAGAAAATTTTCATAAATTAATGATAAATACAAAGATACTAATTATTAAAAACTAATAAAATAATAATGACAATGTACTAAAAAATAATAATTATATATTCATAAAATAATAATGAATACTAAGATATTGAAGTCTAATGTGTGCCCAAATATCATAGACAAGTTATAAGATTTCTTAAGACAATTCTAAATCTACATATCTACAATCACATCAATTATATTAGCATAAAAATTTGATTGAAAGTCCATTCTAAGGTTACAATTAATGAATGAAGGTTGAAAGTCCATTTTGAGGTTACAACTAATATCAACATGATATAGCCAAACATCACAAATCTGCATTTTTTGTGCGCTTAATGTGGGTCTAGGCTAGAATAATAAATCCTGAGATGTAGGGGCCAAGTGACATTTTCTTTTTTTTGTGCTTGGGTTACAAACCCAGGTGATGTATATTTGGGCATTAGTGATTAGATTGATTATGGTTTATAGTCTAATTTTTCAATAATGAAAGATATGGGATTATTAAATTTTTTTGGTTTTCAAAAGGCAAGAAAGAAATGGAAGACTTTACATTTCTCCCCACTCCTATTGCATGTGCCTGCAACAATTAGTATTACATTGAAACCTATCTCTATAGATAGTTCTATCCCCATTTATAATGTGTGGACTTCGAAACTAACAACGTCCCCAAGGGGTCCGAGGATAAAGCAGGAGTTAGACCTGAATTTATAAACAMAAGCCAATATCATATGCTTCTAGATTGACTAAGTTGCATCTATCAAGGTTTATAAACACAAGCCAATATCATATGCTTCTAGATTGACTAAGTTGCATCTATCAAGGTTTAACTTGGTAAAACTTTCTTCATGGAACCTCCTATCAAATGCACGCTAATCCCTCCAAGTAGAGATTTTTGCAACTAATGCCCAATTCCTCCCTATATCATTAATGAAAAATTGTGAAAACAAACCTGAGCCATTCATCAAATTTCTATTAAGAATACGATCACTGGCGGTAGCCAAATTTCTCTCATTGTTAGTGAGTGCAAGACTTTTATGAAGGAACCATCCAATTAAGCCTTATAGGTAACCAAATCTCTCTCCTTGTAAGTGAGTGCAAGAATTTCACGAAGAAACCATCCAATTAAGCCTTCTAGGTAGCCAAATCTCTCTCCTTTTTAATTCGTGCACGACTTTCATGAAGAAACCATCCAATTAAGCCTTGCATATAGAAAGCAATGGAACAAAAGTTACCAAACCCAAAAGGATTTAATATTAGCCACTTCTCGAAAGGGGCTAATATCATGGTGGATTTCAACCTTAAGCCTTTTATCACACCATCTGCAATTCTCCTCCAATCCCTTAATGTTTTTTTAGTAACCACTATGTACTTCCTCTCCCAATCAACAATGGCAACGTTGATGGTTAATTGGTTATCCTATCATCACTTTTAATATGTCTTAATGTCAATAATGCCCCCATCAAAACATCCTTTTCACCATCTTAAATCTATGCACCACCATCATGTTAGGCTACCTAAACTAAGAGGACTAAGCAATCCTCTCCCCGCCCCCTCCAAAGCAACTTATTCACTATTTCTTCCAATAGTTTTATCAAAACACCCAAAAAGTTGTGAATGATTTCAGAGAAATAAGTGAAAGTATATGATATTCTTGAAGAACTCAAAAAATAAATTATATTATTAGCCCTAGTTGTGAGAAAAACAGAGATATCGGAATTCTTGAAGAACTCAAAGAATAAGTTATATAATTAGCCCTACTTGTGAGAAAAACAAAGATGTCGACATTATTGAAGAACTCAAAAAATAAATTATATGATTAGCCCTAACTGTGAGAAAAATAGAGATATCGGCATTCTTGAAGAACTCAGAAAATAAATAATATGACTATCCCTAGCTGTAAAAGAGAGATGTTACTGAAACATATGTCTAGATTGAAGGAGAGAAGAAAAACATTGTTACCTTCCTGAAGTGTTTGAGTCGATTCAGATGTAGCAAACTTAACCAAACTAATGTGTAAAACTGTAAAGCTACCATTATCGGTAATTCTAATGATAAAGCACTTGGAGTCAAACTTTAGAAGAGAGGACTTTTATCTTGTGAATCTCTTTTTCTCTTTTTGCTAAATATTTGCCATCTTGTTTTAGTCTTATAAGAATCACTGTGTAACTTTCAAGTTAGAAAGGAGAAGGAAAGGAGACAATTTAATCTAAAGAAAACCCAGTTGACATAAAACCTAATTAAGAAAAGGGAATAGAATGATCTCATCGATTGTGTATATATATTTTTACATAGTATTATATTTATAGTAATTTCAAAAGTAAACCCATTTGAAACTAAATAACGGAGATCCAAATAAAAGAATAAGGCAGTGAACTATCATTATATTTCGTAGAGTTTTCAATTTCCTTAGAGATGGGAAAAAAAGAAAGGAACAAACAACTTATTGAGTCTTGAATGGAGACAATTCGTATACTTGGTCACAATTATCTTAACCATTATTACTGAATGCATTGGAATGAAAAATCCCTAGCAGTTGAAAGCAAGGAAAAGAAATCCAGAAAAGTAGGGAAGAGAGGCAGAGAAAGAAACTAATAAAAGGGAATAAATAAATATCTTCCCAGGTAGAGATGAAGAGAAACTCCCAAGCAAAGAACCAAAATGTCCAGACCTTCACTCGAACAAGTGAGTAAGAACTAGAAGATGCAGAGAGACGTAGAGCTTCATTCCAATGAACTGATAACGATGCAGGGAGACTTAAGTGATTACAGAGAATGAGAAAAAGATTGAAGACTTAAGAGAACGAGAGATGCTGGAAGATTTGAGCGATTAGAGAGTAGAGAAGAGATGGATACGAGAGAGAGAGAAGAAAACATTCGCAAGAGAGAAAGAGCATGGGTAGATTTTGTTAAACTTAATAAAGGGGCAATTTTGTCCTAAGAAAAGGATATACGAATTGTATCTCATACGGTATTCCCGCTGCTCTTTTTTTATATTTGTTAAAAAAAGTTGCCTTATTTTAGTTATTATATGAAGTATGTAACTTTAATTGCTATTAAAGCTGATAAGCGTATGGCCCCAATAACATATCCATAGGTTTTTAGCACAAGTGGTTCGACCCCCCAGTACATCCCATCACCCTCACTGGCTGATCTGTCAAGGAATTTGCTGACATGTTAACCTCTGAACACATCTAAAAATAGAATTCATGATGATTCCAAGTATCTAGCCTGCTTAATAATGTTTCTGTACTCCGTACTGCAATGGTCCAGACTGTCTCCTTGCATCCATATAATTACCAGCTGAGATTTTCCCTTCTCATGAAAATTGCTCTACCCTAGAGGGTACCCAATATCAGCCCTTGAAATTATGATAGGGATTCAGCTCTTATCAGTCATTAACCCATTGATATTTCACCTTGACTCTTTAAAGGTGTCACCAATTCCTGAACTTCATGAATTACCTTTACTACAGCTTAATGGCATTTTCGACAGGACCAAGACTTAAGGGCTACTGGAATGTCATTCTGAAGAAGAAGATATATGCTGCCACCTTCTGATAGAAAGAGGTTAGTGCTCCTGAATTTCTAGAGTCATGGTAGAAAGAGGTTACATTTTAGTATGAAAGGAAGATTTCTATACCTAATATAGAAGGGATTTGAATTTAGTAATCCTGCTGGTTTAGTGCCCTTGATGAATTAATGGTTTTAAACAAGATTATGTTTGAAGATGTGATTAAAAACTACTCGTGTAGTGTTGTGTTTTCCAGCAGGTTCAGGTGGGCTATCCTAGCATGGTTCACATTTTCAGCAGTAGGCATCCTTCGAAGAATCAAGACCATTAGGAGTTAGGACAATTTCCAAAACTACCAGAAAAAAAGGCAGGTTTTTTGCAAAGGAATAAAGGAGATTCATTGTTTTTTAAATCCAAGAAGAAAATTCCATGAATTCCTTGGGTTTTGGAATTCAGTTTTTCATCAAAGATTATATATATATATATAAAAGCATACAAAAGACATTTCTGGTCTTCCTTGTGTTTGATCTCAATAATAGAAGAAACTAAATGATTCATGTTTGGCTTTTGAATAAAAGAAACTAAATGACTCATGATGGGTTTTACCTCCTCCTTCTTGCATTCCTTATAAATATCAAATTGCTCTTGACATTTGCTCTTGTCTGAGTTAAATTCCTCCAGGCCTGCAAAGTTTTCTTCATGACTAATTATTTCCAAAAAGGAGAACTAAGGGTGAAGTATCAGGAATATTTAAAAATAAGAAACTATTCATTTGGTGTTTGCATTACCAAAAAGGAGATTCCAATGAATCACTTTCATTTTAAGTCCTTGAAGGAGGCATCTTTAGGGATGAGGAAGGTCATATAGTGGCTTTATTTTCATGTCTGATTGGAGTAGGGGACTCTCTAAGAGCTGAGGTCATGGCTGTCATGGAAGGTGTACAAAGGGCAACAATGATGAACTTCAAAAAACTAATCATTAAAGAAGATTCAAAATGGTGGAGTGGACGCAGAATGAAGAGGCATCTCTTTGGCAGTACATAAATTAATTAAAAAATTTAGATGACTGACTAGAGAGATGAAAGATTTCAGTGGGTACAAAGGTTAGCAAACAGCATGGAAAATGTATTAGTCAAACAAGGGGTGAAGAGAGATCAAATTTTCTGAGCACAATTGTAAGAAAAGATTGAAAGGGGAGATAAAAGATTTACCTCCCTAATGGGTGTATAACTGTATATATACTTGTGCATTAAATTCCTATTAATAAAATAGTTGGTTATTGGTAAAAAGAAAATAAAAATCCCTTTCCTTACCATCATTGGTTTGGATGGTGAAAACCCTTCTCTCTTTTGCTAGTGCTCCCCAACTTTTTTTGCATGAGCTAGCCCTTATTAGCTTGTTTGATTCTTAAATATTTCTTACTTGTTTTAAGACTAAGATGATAAGCTTGACAATCAAGTTTAGCAACTTGTCAAGTCTCAAGCATAAATGTTGGGATTGTGTCATATTTTTCAACCATTAAATCAGACTGTAATCTAATAGTTGGTGTGGTCCCTCCTTTAGGTTAAGTTGGGTTTTACATCTAAAGGATTTCTTTTATATGTAGGGTTTAGAAGTTTGGCTTTTTTCTTGTTGGAGAAGAAAAAAAATAGCGGTTGGAGAGGTGCTCTTGATGTAAGAGTAGATTCTTTTTTCTTCTAGTGTTGCTATTGAATTCTCTTGGTTGCTATTTCATTCAAATGCTTTGTGGTTTTATCATGTGGGTGAGCCCAACAATAAATTCTATTCCATCATACCTCAAATTTGTTGGTTAGGCTTCACTTGAGGCTTTATGCTCAACAAGTAGAGTATGGGAACAATGTGAACTAGGCCATGGTCCATTTAGCAATCCACAAAGTCTCCTGTATGTATTAAAAGTTCTAAAAGAACTGGCATTATGCAAGATTTCATTCTTGAACTTTAGTACTTGATTACATAGGCGTCTCCTGTATGATGGCCTAAATTATCTATCAATGTCCCTAGGGGCTGTTCACCTGAAAAGACGGAAAAAGAAATGGTCTGAGATACCAAATATAAATAGCAGGAGATTAGCAAGAGAATTTGGAATTTATTTTGGATGCATTCTAGAGTCATGGTAGAAAGATGTTAGATGTTAGTATGAAAGGAAGACATACCTAATATTAGAAGGGATTTGAATTTAGTAATCCTGCTGGTTTAGTGCCCCTGATGAATTAATGGTTTTTAACAAGATTATCCTTGCATATGTGATTAAAAACTACTCGTGTAGTGTTATGTTTCCCAGCAGGTTCAGGTGGGCTATCCTTCCATGGTGCACATTATATACAGTCCATTTGTAAGAGATGGTTTATTCAAAGGAATAAAGAATGAATTGTATATGCAATGATGCCAGGTAAACCCCTCCTTAGGTTGGCTTCTGCCAAGTCACCCTAACTTCCATTTAACTCTTAACTACATGGCTCCTTTTACATTACATGTTCCACAGAAGCCCCCAAAATAGATGTCCTCTGTTCACCCCTTGTTTTGCAATTTCATCTGCCAAATCATTGGCTTATCTGTTGATTGATAACTTTATACCTATTCATCACTCTGATAATCTGATTTTATCACCCTCATAATGTTTTTGTACTACCATGGGACCAGACCGTCATTTTCAAGCCAGCTCACCACCACTTTTGAATCTCCTTCCACTACCAAAATTCGATAGTTGAGAGACATTGCCAGCCTCAAACTGTGTAGCACTGTAATTTATTATGCCCTTGCATTTCCTTGGACTGTAGGACCTAATTACCAGCCACCTAATACCATCCAATTATTATGATGCCATCAAAAGAGAATAGCTCTCAATTGTTTGCACTTCTAGACGGAGCCTTGCCATTCAAGAGTCTGTCCTTTTATCTCTTCCTCCATAGTCCATAATATTGCTCTCCTCGTGCATCCCCAGATGATCTTCCCTCTTTTCCTTGGTAGATTGAAACGGGAAGAATAGAAAGCCCAGCAATCCGATTCAACTCCCTAGGGATCCATCTGAAAGTGCAGAACCAGAAGAAACAATTGATGGCTATTTGTCTGCTAGATATAAATATTCCAACCTTAGGATATCTCAAGATAGTTTGGATATGTTTCTGTGCACACTAATTACAGATGGCTAGCTATCCATCCCATGCGTTATGGTTTTGGCCTGTGCACAGGTCAAGTGGAGCTCTGGAGGCTTTAAGCCCTCCATACAGGAGTCCAGATGAAACAGTTGTCTATTGCTGATTGGTGCACTCAACAGCAGATCTCTATATCTATTAAATTCTAAGTATATCCATGCTTTAGATTTTCTGGAGCATCTGTATGCGTCCATCATATGCTTCTTAAAATTGGTTTGCCAAAAATGCATGTTTTCCTTTCCTTATGATGTTGATTTTGTGTTTAGTTGTTTTTCCCAGAGTGCACTGAGTTTATAACCCATAATACTACTTTTTGTATGGAATGTGGTTGTAGAGCTTCCTCCACACCAAGAGATTTGAATGCCTTCTCTTTCTCTGCTACAATGTCAGAGGTATGCATGGGTTCAGTTTTGTTATGATGTTGACATTGAGACTGACAAAGGATCCTGTATTGTCATTACTAAATAATAATTGTATTATGATAGGGTAACATTGCATGATAGCTGAAGAAAGAAGGTAATACGGTTTCTCCTGGTGAAGAAAGAAAGTGGAGCTCTGGAGGCTTTAAGCTCTCCACACAGGAGTCCAGATGAAATAGCTGTCTATTGCTGATTGGTACACACAACAGACCTCATCTCTATAGCCATTAAATTCTCAGTATATCCGTTGTTTATATTTTCTGGAGCATCTGTATATCTATTATATCCAAGAGATGGGAATGCCTTCTCTCTCTCCTACAATGCAGAGGTATGCACAGGTTCAAGAGATTGGAATGCCTTCTCTCTCTCCTACAGTGCAGAGGTATGCACAGGTTCAATTTTGTTATGATGTGGACATTGAAACTGAAAAAGGATCCTGTATTGTCATTACTAAGTAATTGTCTTATGACAGGGTAGCATTGCACGATAGCTGAAGAAAGAAGGTGATGAGGTTTCTCATGGTGAAGACGTGACGTTCTTTGCTGAGTTAAAACTGTATGCTTCTTGGTGCTGGTCTTTGGTCCAAGTATGTAACTTTGTAAAATATGTGTTAAGGATGCAGCAAAAACTAGAAAAACTAATAGATCTAAAACAGGCTGCAGTCATTAAGGGCAGGCAAGGTGTTGATAGTATCATCATAGCACAAGAGATAGCAAACAAAATGAAGAAATAGTGCAGAGGATGGGCCATGCTGAAGATAGACAT